CTCACTTGATAATGCATCTCTCATTGTTCGCATGATCGTTTTGCCCGCACATTAGCCATTAGCAAGGCCATCATGCCCAATCATTACCACAGTCGTGCCACGCCTGATGTCAAAGCGCCAGACCCCTAACACCTATACTCAATATAAATAAAAGTTATTTCAATAAACAATTTAATTTTTGTACTTTTGATTTGTTTTTTCCTAAAATCGGGCAAACTCAAAACAGAAACCAAAATAAATGTAAATTTTCTTCATTGTGAAACCTACAAGGAAACATTCAAAAATCGAATTTAAAAAAATATGGTTTTTTTCCCCTTTCCCAATTTTATCCATGCACTGCGCCCTCATAATAGAAAAAGAATTGTACTGTTATAAAATAAAAATTGTAAAGTAAAGACAAGTATAGAGAGAAAACTGATATATTATTCAAATTTTAAACTTATGTACAATTTGAACTGAAAACTCCTCTATTTATAGAAGAAAGGAAGCAGCTGCGAGGCTTTTCAGAAAGCAGTTGCAAGGCTTTTCTTTAGCTGTTTGTAAGTTGTATGCATGAGCTGCTTGTAACATGCCTGTTTAATAAGAAGCTGCTGCAAATCATTTTTATTGAGTTGCTTGCAACCTGCCTGCATCAGCTGCTTGTAGATAAACTTCAACAGAGTACTAAATGGATAATTTTTTTAAGGAAGATTATCTATAGCGAAGTAATTAATGAACATCCACAATACAATATTTTCATAGCACTCCCCCTTGGATATTCATTAAAAGATAATGTGCCTTGTTAAAACCTTACTAGGAAAAACCCAGTGGAAAAAATCCTAGTGAAAGAAAAAGAGTACACATATTTAGTAATACGCATTTTTAGATGCCTCATTAAAAACCTTACAAGAAAAACCCTATGGAAAAAAACTAAGGAAAAAAGAGTACAGCGCGTATTTCACTCCCCCTGATGAAAACCTTGTTTCAAATATTTGAGTCTCCGCATTCCAATCTTGTATACCATCTTCTCAAAAGTTGAAGTTGGTAAAGATTTAGTGAACAAATCTACTGGATTGTCACTTGAACAGATTTGTTGCACATCGATGTCACCATTTTTCTGAAGATCATGTGTGTAGAATAATTTTGGTAAAATGTGCTTCGTTTTTTCTCCTTTTATAAATACTCCCTTTAATTGGACTATGCCTACAGCATTATCTTCGTATAAAATTGTGGATCTTTTATCACATTCCAAATCATATTTTTCTTGAATAAAATGAATCACTAATCCCAACCATATGCATTCCCTACTTGCTTTATGAATAGCTATTATCTCAGCATGATTTGAAGAAGTAGCAACAATTGATTTCTTTGTGGAGCGCCATGATATGACAGTACCTTCACATGTAAACACATACCCGGTTTGAGATCGAGCTTTATGGGGATTAGATAAATAACCTGCATCTGCATAACCAACAAGATCTGTAGTACCTTTGTTAGCATAAAACAAACTCATATCAAGAGTTCCCTTTAAATATAGTAAAATATGCTTAATCCCATTCCAATGTCTCCGTGTAGGAGAAGAGCTATATCTTGCTAGTAAATTAATAGAAAATGCTATGTCAAGCCTTGTAGCATTATCAAGATACATAAGTGCACCAATTGCACTGAGATAGGGTATTTCAGGACCAAAGAGTTCCTCATCCTCTTCTGGAGGTCGGAACGGGTCCTTATTCATTTCAAGTGATCGAACAACCATTGGTGTACTCAATGGGTACGCTTTGTCCATGTAAAAGCATTGTAAGACCCTTTCTGTATAGGCATATTGATGCATAAAGATCTCGTCTGCTAAATGTTCAATTTGCAGTCCAAGACAAAGTTTTGTCTTTCCAAGATCTTTCATCTCAAATTCTTTCTTAAGATATTCAATTGCCTTTTGGAGCTCTTCTGGAGTTCCAACAAGATTTATGTCATCAACATAAACAGCAAGTATAACAAATNTTTATAAAAATACATGGACAAATAACATCATTTATGTAACCCTCTTTCAACAAATATTCACTAAGGCGATTATACCACATGCGTCCAGATTGCATTAAACCGTACAATGATCTTTGTAATTTGATTGAATACATTTCCCGAAATTTTGAATTTGCTTCATGCATTTTAAATCCTTCAGGGATTTTCATGTAAATCTCATTATTAAGTGACCCGTACAGATAAGTTGTAACCACATCCATCATATGTATTTCAAGCCTTTCACGTAAGGCTAAACTGATGAGATATCAAAATGTTATGGCATCCATAACGGGTGAATATGTTTCTTCATAATCGACTCCAGGTCGTTGTGAGAATCCTTGTGCGACAAGGAGAGCCTTGTATCTTTCAACTTCATTTTTGTCATTCCTTTTTCACACAAAAATCCATTTATGACCAACTGGTTTTATACCAGCAGGTGTTTGGACTACTGGTCCAAAGACCTCTCTTTTAGCAAGTGCGTTCAATACTGATTGAATTGCTTGCCATTTTGGCCAATCCGATCTTTGTCGACATTCTTCGACAGATCGGGGTTCAAAATTTTCACTATCTTGCATAATGTTAAGTGCAACATTATAAGCAAAAATATTATTCACCACTATTTCAGATCGATTTAAATTAATCCCATCACCAGTAGAACTTATTAAAAGTTCCTCGCTCACTTGAGTCTCGGGTTCAGTGATTTCTTCATAAATCTCATAACTAATTAGATCTTGGGTCTCTTCAGGAGATCCATTTATAGTATCATTTTGATCATTTGTCGATTTTCTTTTTCGAGGATTTCCATCCTTAGAACTCAAAGGCCTACCACGCTTCAGGCGTTCTTTAGGTTGAGAGCTAGTAGATGGTCCTGCTGGGACGTCAATTCGGATAGTCACATTCTCTGCAGGGATATATGACTTAGTTATCCTTTTCAAATCAGTAAACGCATCTGGCATTTGATTTGCTATATTTTGTAAATTGATGATCTTCTGGACCTCCTGATTACATATAGGGGTACGTGGATCAAAATGAGATAATGATGAAACTTTCCACACAATTTTTCTTTTGATTTCCTTTTTCTCTCCCCCTAATTGTGGAAAATTTGTTTTATCAAACCGACAATCTGCAAAATCGAGCAATAAATAAATCTTTCGTCAATGGTTCAAGATAGCGAATAATGGAGGGTGATTCAAACTCAACATATATTCCTAACCTTCTATGCAGTCCCATCTTACTGCGATGTGGTGGTGCTACTGGCACATATACAGCACATCCAAAAATTCGTAGATGTGCAATATTTGGTTCATGACCAAAAACTAATTGTGACAGAGAATATTTATTATTATGTGTCGGTCTGAGACGGATAAGTGATGCTGCATGCAAGATAGCATGGCCCCAAACAGTAGTGGCCAATTTTGTTTTCATAAGTAGTGGTTTTGCTATCAATTACAGGCATTTAATAAATGACTCTGCAAGGCCATTTTGAGTATGAACATAAGCTACAAGATGTTCAACTTTTATCCCAACTGATAGACAGTAATCATCAAAAGCTTGAGATGAGAATTCTCCAACATTATCAAGGCGAATAGCCTTTATAGGATAATCTGGGAATTGAACCCTTAATCGAATTATTTGGGCTAATAGCTTTACAAACGCCAAGTTGCGAGATGATAGTAGGCACACATGAGACCATCTTGAAGATGCATCTATTAGGACCATAAAATATCTAACAACCCACTTGGTGGGTGAATAGGTCCACATATATCCCCATGTATACGTTCTAAAAAGGCAGGGGATTCAATGCCAACCTCCATTGGTGATGGGCTAGTGATCATTTTGCCTTGATAACAAGCATCACAAGAAAATTCATTATTTGTAAGAATCTTCAGTTTTTTTAATGGATGCCCAATCGAATTTTCAGTAATTCGTCTCATCATTATTGATCCAGGATGGCCCAAATGGCCATGCCAAAGCACAAAAATATTTGAATCAGTAAACTTCTGGTTTACGATAGAGTATGCTTCAAGTCTTCAACTGTACTAATATTTTGGATAGTATAAGCCAGAAGATAAAGCTGGTAACTTTTTTACAATGCACTTCTCGCTCGAAACATTCTTTGTAATACATAGATATTCCATATTCATTTCATCTATCATCTCAACATGATACCCATTTTGGCGGATATCTATAAAACTCAACAAGTTTCTTCGGGACTTAAAGGAGAATAATGCATTGTTTATTATAGGTTTTGTTTCCTTAGACAGATATATAGTAGCTCTTCCGGAGCCTTCAATCAAACTTATATTACCAGAAATTATAGAAACATTTGCTTTTTCCCTATGCAAATAAGAAAAGTATTTCTGATCTTTGAATATGGTATGAGTTGTTCCACTATCAATTACACAAATATCTTCATGATTGGTTTTTGATCCAAACATAATTTGAGGATTATCCATATTCGCTGATACTTTCAAAGTATTTGCTCGAGATGGCAGAGTCTCGTGCTGATAACGTATTATAAAATAAAGATTGTAAAGTAAATACAAGTATAGAGAGAAACTCATATATTATTCAAACTTCAAACTTATGTACATAATGAACTGAAAACTCCTCTATTTATAGAAGAAAGGAAGCAACTGCGAGGCTTTTCAGGAAGCAGCTGCAAGGCTTTTCTTTAGCTGTTTGTAAGTTGTCTGCACGAGCTGCTTGCAACATGCATGTTTAATAAGAAGTTGCTGCAAATCATTTCATTAAGTTGCTTGCAACCTGCCTGCATCAGCTGCTTGTAGATAAACTTCAACAGAATACTAAATGGATAATCTTTTTTAGAAAGATTATCTATAGCGGAGTAATTAATGAACATACACAATATAATATTTTCATAACATGTACAAAATATTTTAGAACATTTTAAAATGAGAAAAATGGCATATAACTCAACAGGAAAAGAAAAGAAAAAGAACTCAGCTTGATCTAAAAGGTTGTAGTACTCAATTGGCGGTCGGGGCATGTGAGTTCCACCTCGGAGTACTATTTGTTTTAAAGCGTGACGTTAAAATATTCAAACACTATAGAAACTACGCCATATGTGTATTTTGATTCGAATAAAGCCGTAATAGCAATCAATCATCTAATCTATTCATCAGAAGAAACTCAAGAACATGGAGAGGAAAGAGGGCGAAGAGACAATTATTGCAGAAAATGGGAAAATAGAAGCAACCCCACAAAAAGACGGTTCAATTTGTGGGTTTGACTCTCTTCATCATCTCCTTCAAGCTTCTCTCAATCCCCAACTTTTCCAGGTCACCCTAATAAAAATTCAATTTTTTGTAGATTCTATATGTATGTGTTTATATATATAGTGAAATAGGATCAATTGTCATAAAATAGAGGGTAAAATTGAAAACTTGAATTCCCCTTTATGTAAATACGATGCATTAAGAATTTTGTGAGAAATTGGTATCCTGTAGCTAAACTGGCAAAGGGTGCGGGGTGAGGATTTGGATCAAATTAATTGTCATAATAGTCAAATTATTGATTATTCGAGTGAGACGGATTAAAGATTCATATAGTTGAAATTTGAGTTTGGGATTGAGGCCAAGTTATTGATGTTTTATTTTATCGGATTGGTTTGCCTAGGCAATGAATTCAAGCTAGTGGGCAGTGCTCAACTTCTGTCTTTGTTTTGTTTTCATGATCAGATAAGGATTTGCATTTCCTGGGAGTTTCAAGTTGTTTTAGTCCTCTAAAATTGCTAATACAAGCTCAGGAGACGAGTATCATATGAGCTTGGTAAAATGGTTTTTGTTTGTTGAAGCTTCATTGATCAAGTTGGTTCTTTTTTGCACATTGCGTTGTAATCTGTGCATTGTGCAGAGAATTATTGGAAAAATCTGTGTATGATCTAATGAACTTACTTGTCTTTTGTGCAAAATCTTTTTATTCTTAATGTCTTGATAATATAATATGCGGAGATTCATGAATAAGCATTGGGATTTTTACCAGTGAGTACGTAAGAAGTTCCATCTTATTTAGGATATTTTTCAAGAGATAGGGGAATCATCGGTTTTGATATGAAAAAGTACTAAAGCAAAGATTGAAGAGGTGAGGTCGTAAGCTTTGAGCATCTCTCTGGTTATGCTGACAAAATAACTTTTGCTTTGCAGGAAGTCAGTCGCATACTTCTTGGGCTAAATTGTGGAAAGAAACTTGAGCCTATTGCTCTTCCGCAGCCTGTCAAAGTTCTGTCCTCTGAACATGATTTTGATCTTCAGGTGAGCACTTACATCTTCTGCTTGAAAAAAAGAGTATTAAATTAACCAAATGGATTAACCTAGAAAGGGGGATAGCTGGTATGTAGGTTTTTTCAAATTCTGATATAGTAGGAAAAGCTGCACATCAAAGGCAGCTTCCTAGGTAGAAAAGCAGGGTGAATTTGATCTTGACACCTCAATTCACTGTTATCTCTTTCTTGGAAGTTCATTCGAGACCTTGTTCTGTCTAGGATATAATAGCTGAGTGGTAGCTTTGATGGTTCTATTTTTGCTCTCATATATCCAATGACGAGAATGAGTTGGTATTTGCATCAAGGAAATTGAAGCGTGTAGATTGCCAGTATGCTGTAGGAGTTACTTTTATCATCATAACCTTGTAAAACATTTCAACCTGAAGAAACGTTATCTACTTGATAAAAGGGGGTTAGGAAAGGGGGTTATTTCTACCTGAATTTGGAATTAACATAAATGAAAGGATAGGTTGTGATTCTTCAGTTGATTTGAGAAGAATAAAGTTAAAGGTGGATGGATGACACAATGCACTGATTTCTGGTTAAAAACAAAAAGTGCAATGAGCTTGGGATGTCTGCACTGGCTGAATCCTGCGTTAGTGGATGTGGCAACCTGTGGTGGAGATAAATTAAAAAATGAGAAGATTTGTGCTTACTTAATGCGACTTGCAGTTACTTAGAATGAGAAATCAACTTTTTTATTTGTATTATGCATAAAGATTCATATAGCTGACCCCAACTTGTTTGAGACTGAGGTATAGATGTTGTTAGTGTTGTTTAAGCAAGAGGCTGATTGGCAAGATCAGAGCACGGGACAAACCACCATTTTGGCTGATAATCTTAGATCTTTATCAGTTTTCACTATTGTTTTTATCTTACAGGTTGTATAACACATCAACTTTCTTCACATAAATGCAGGCTTTTAGCTTTTCTGCGGACAGAGAGTCACTGAGAGAACCTCGGATTGTGAGGGTTGGCCTCATTCAGAATTTTATTTCCTTACCCACAACTGCACCTTTCCTGGATCAAAAGAGGGCCATCTTTAAAAAGTTGACTCCGATCATTGATGCTGCGGGTTCTTCAGGAGTCAATGTTCTATGCTTGCAAGTGAGTTTGAACATAGTTACTGAAGTCTCTGATGGACTTATTGTCCTTTTCAGCGTTTAATCATTGTTGTTATTCTCTTTAACTCCTTTGCAGGAGGCGTGGACAATGCCTTTTGCATTTTGTACGCGTGAGAAAAAATGGTGTGAATTTGCTGAGCCAATTGATGGAGAATCAACTCAATTCCTTCAGGAATTTGCACGAAAATATAACATGGTTATCGTTAGTCCGATTCTTGAGAGGGATGTTTATCATGGAGAAACCCTGTGGAACACAGCAGTGATAATTGGAAATCATGGTAACATAATAGGGAAACATCGGAAGGTAAATCCCGATAACCAAACTCTGTAACATTTGATAATTCCCAGGAACTAATACTTTGAAATTTGCAGAATCACATACCTAGAGTTGGAGACTTCAATGAGAGTACATATTATATGGAAGGGAACACTGGCCATCCTGTGTTTGAGACAGCATATGGCAAGATTGCTGTTAATATATGTTACGGAAGACACCATCCTCTGAACTGGTTAGCGTTTGGGTTAAATGGTGCAGAGATTGTTTTTAACCCATCAGCTACTGTTGGTGAACTTAGTGAACCAATGTGGCCCATTGAGGTACTAACTATTTCCTTTATCCTTTATGCTACAACTGAATTCTCTCAGTGTTTAGCAGTAGTTGATGAGATAGACGTTGAATTCAAGGAAGCATGATAACACTGTCAATTTACAAAGAATTAAAGCAGAGTTTGACAAAAATTGGAAAGAAATACTTGTATTTATTGACCAATGTCTGAACTTGGTTTTGATAAAATATGGAGAAAAGAATAACCTTGAGAAATGAATCATGCTTTGATGAGGCCATCGGTTAACAATATCTACTTTCTTGATTTTTCGTTTGTTATTGTGTTGGCAACAGGCTCGCAACGCAGCAATAGCAAATAGCTATTTTGTTGGTTCAATTAACCGCGTCGGGACAGAAGTTTTCCCCAACCCCTTCACTTCAGGAGATGGAAAGCCACAACATGCAGATTTTGGGCATTTCTATGGTTCCAGTCATTTTTCTGCACCAGATTCGTCGTGTACACCTTCTCTGTCCCGTCACAAGGATGGATTGTTGATATCTGACATTGATCTCAACCTTTGTCGGCAGCTAAAGGAGAAATGGGGATTTCGAATGACTGCTCGTTATGAAGTCTATGCTGATCTGCTAGCTCGTTATGTAAAGCACGATTTTGAGCCACAAGTCATTTCTGATCCCTTGTTATATAAAAATGCTTAAGCTATGCATTGGTCATTAATGAAGGAAAGCAAGAGTAAATTTGCTTTCAGACAATCTGTAAAGTATCACTAAGTTCCCAAGTTAATGGCCATGAAATGTACAAGAACATATGCCCTTGATTTGCAATAAATTGTGGAATTTGTACAAATGCTAAATTCATGTGGACTAGTAGTTTCTTCTTGTTGGACATTTTTTCATCATCAATGTACTTCCAAGTTTATCAGCAACCTGGTTGTGGTGTTGTTAATTACCAACTTGGAACAAGTACATCATTCCTGTGGAAGGCGATACGCAATGTAACAAAACACAGCCTAGGTTAAGGATGTCTGGATCTTTCTTTTTACCAATTCTTAATTTTGAATGTAACTACAACATGTAATTGCGCTTCCTCTTTAAACTAATCCTTCGCTGATAATGACTTGGTTGTACGGGACAAGCCAAAATTTGGAGTAATTACTATTACACTCTATTTTAAATAGCACTTTATAAAATTCATATTAAGATAATAGTTAACCACAGGGGTTGTTTTGTTTGGAGATTAATTACGTAGAAATTGTATTACATAGATTATTTTATCGTAATAAGCAATACGCAAACTGCTTGAACTGCCATAGCCAAATTTCAGGCCATTGATCTTGAATTTGAAATCTGATGAATAAATTATAATTTTCTCATCTTTCTTATTATAATAAGTTTATTCGATGATGCACGCAAGAAGTCACAAAATTTCAACTAAAGTTACAACTATCAGTAATGCACTTCAATTTAGTAGTATTTGGAAGTTTGAATAGGCTGGGCAGGAACAAACTTTCCTTAGAATTTGAAGAACCCCTCATATTCTGTTTCAGATCGTGTCTTTTTCTGTTTGTATTACAAAAGTGGCTATATTTGTTATATTTTGCAAATAGTGATTAAGTTTTAAACAGCAGCCGATAGAGGAATTTACATAGAATACAACTTATTTAATATTTATTTAAATGAGTTAAACTACTTTTAGATTATTACATATAATGCAACTTTTTAAAAATCTATAACATTCCATATTCCTAATATATCTCTCTTAATTGAGTTAATAATATTGACTCCTTAATTTTCTCTTTCATTAACTAGATGGTATTGAGAAATCATAACACACTTGTTCTCTTTAATATCCAATTATCTCACCATACCATATTGAGAATGAACATACATTCTCTTCCACAATTCCATGGAAATAATATTATTTTCTCCTTGCACTTCAATTTCATCTACTCGTATGACCACTCAGAGGAGTCACCCAAACCACTTATTTTTGGAAATATTTGTCGTGTTATCCATGGAAGCAGAAATGAGTTACAAATCCACCAAGAACAACAATATCGCTAATGAATTTGGATTTCTGATCTTCAAACTCATTTTGATTTTTGTTGTTCATACCAATGATGTTCTTTTCTTCCTCTTTTTTCTTTCTTTTGTTCGGTATTAAATTCAATCAATAGAAATTAATATTCTTAAATTTATTTTCTAAGACATTGTTGTGATTCAATATTTTCATTTGAAAGTAACAATATTTAATCACGTGTGGATTAAGGAAAAATATTTATTTATGAATTTGGTATAATATATGCAGATACTTTTCATATAATATATATGAATACATTAATATACGTATTTGCAAAATATATTTAGATGCTCTATTATCTATATACAAATAAAGAACATTGGATATAAGAGGATTATATATAGTATATTTATAGTATATGGTATATAGTATGTAGTATATAGTATATTTATACTATGTAAAATATACAATTTCTTTAAGTATATTGTATATTTACTTAGGTAGAAAGTATATTATTTTATGTATATAAGTTAAACCATTATTTCATATGTAGAATATATAATATATAATATATTTTATTGTTCATTAATGATTAAATACATTATACAATATATTATATATCTATACCATTGTATAAGGGATATACAATATACTTTCAATTATATACAATACTGTAAAAAAATATTATTACTCGATGAACATATATTATATATAGTGTAGTCTCTTACCTATTTTTAAATAACAGCCAAAGGAAATCTTTTAAGAGATGATTCATTTCCTTTATAGTCTGTTCCAATTCCCTCCGTTTCAAATTAGATGAGGAACGGACTAAAAAGGAAAGTACATCATCTAATTTGAAACGGGAGAGTAATACTTTAGGAGTGTTTCGAGCAAAACTAGCAATAAAGTCGATTTTGCTCATTATAAATAATCTTATGGTTGTGATCATTTTCATAGGATATCAATAAAAATTAACACATGAGATTTTTTTTGAGTTATTTCTTATATTCAAAATGTTACTAGTCATATAAGATCATATTCTTCATAGATTTATTATTTTTCTTACGGAAAAGGGCCTAAACTACTCCTATTGTTTGCTAAATAGTTTATAAGTACCCTCCGTCCATCTATTCGTCCGAAAAAGCACACGACGTTAATTCTATTAACAAAAATACTGCCACGTCTAACGACAGAATTGGTGGACCTTTTATATAATGACGTGATAATTTTTTACTGGGCTACGTGGCATTGTCGGCCAAAAATCAAATATGGGTTTTATTTTTACCCATTTACCCGATCTGATCCTATGGTTTGTTACCCGGCGTCTTCACACAATTCGAACTACGATCAACTCCTACGACTTGAACTTCCATTTTAGAGACTATGTATCCCATTTCACTCCGAAATCAAAAACCATACCTCCCGGTAAGTCACGTAATCACATAATGAAATAGAGGGAGCAATAAATAGGGGTTCGTTGAGCTTGAATTGTGGAAATGGGAGTTAATGATTTTGGTGTTGATTTCTGGGAGATTGGTTTTCGGGTCTTTACAGAGTCCTTAGTGTATCACCAACAATCATTTTTGAGACATTAAGTGCCGCTTGTGTTTTATTAGAGTGATTTAACTAACCATAGGGTCGGATCAGGTATTGGGTAGAAATAAGACCCATATTTGATTTTTGGCCAACAATGCCACGTAGCCCAGTAAAAAATTACCACATCATTAAATAAAAGGTCCATCAATTCTGCCGTTAGACGTGGGGGTATTTTTGTTAATAGAATTAACGTCGTGTGCTTTTTCGGACGAATAGATGGACGGAGGGTTCTTATAAACCATTTAGCAAACAATAGGGATAGTTTAGGCCCTTTTCCATTTTTCCTATTCAAATTGTAACTGGATATATAAAATCATTCCTCCCATATACTAACATGTATAGAAATAAAACCTTTCTATACCAATACATATATTGAGTAGATGTTTAGTCTTATATATGTTTTAAACATTTGTTTCAGTTTTTAAAATAGAAATACAATATAAAGAAAAAGTTTATACAGTAATGAAGGTGGAAGAATTCTCTTGGATAAAATTTGGTGGAACAAACTTATTCAGAAATATTTTAAAACCAAACCAGATCACTTTATCATTGATTGAAAGTTTAAATTGAGGTAACAATATTAAACCAAATATATAAATTACATGTCATGTATTCATTATTTAGTACATGGAGAACATTTGATAAGTATTTTCAGAATTTGGCCGATTCCGGAAAAGATATATAATCAAAAGAATATTTGATTATCACCTCATTATTTTCGATTTCATATGAAATTGTTATACAATTAAAAGGACATTTGGGTTGGATAATAACAAGCAGTCTCCACTAATATATGCATATAATATTATACTCTTTTTTGTGTGGTAAATAGTGACTTTCTATTCATTCCAAAAAAGTAACATTTACAAAACAAGTAGATGCTGACCATCCACACTCCTATCTCCTAGTTACAGCAACTCTGAAGATCTAAGCACTATACCTAGTATAGAAACAATCTTTTTACATCAACCATTCAAAACCAAGAAACAATTACATATGTAGAGAGCCTAAGGAAAAGAATCCAACTGTTGCCGTGCTCCCTACCAGTTCTGTAATGTCCTGCCTCTAGTATGCATGTGCAACACAATTTCTCTGTAGACGGTATCAGTCTTGAGCACACCCCCTTGAAATCTGAGCATATTTCTTTCCCTCCATACTGTGAAAACCAGCATGCCAAACACGCAGGTTACAATTGCCCAATGATTCCAAACTTTAGTAGTCTGTCCACTGTGGCTAACCTCTTCTGCAGTGCCAACCAAAGTATAAACTTGAACCTAGGATGTAGGTTGGATTGCATGGCTATACTCTTCTAGGGTACTCTTTGAAGCTCGGGGAATTGTAGGTGATATAACTTTTTGATAGTGAAGACTTCACCCTTTTGTAATTGGACAAATCTGCTGCTCAAATCTCCCTGAATACCTTGGAGTTCAACAATGAATCTTCTTGTCTCCAATATTTTCCTGACTACCCAGGCTGCATTCTTGGGTATTGGGGCATTCTCCACACTATGGTTCCTAATATAAAATGTGTGGATCCACCTGATCCAGAGACAGTCTTTCTTTATTGCTACTGCCCACAGGTGCTTTGCAACTGCTGCCTTAATCCAGTAGTAACAATTCGACCCTCAAATCCTCAAATCTTTTCAAGAGGGTTTTTAATTTTTTTTCAACTTAAATTACCAATTAAATGTTAAAAACAGTGATGGATTCGGGTAATCTAACCAAGATTGAGTTAAGAACACTTACCCCGATGTTTTCTCTGAAAATCTCCCAAAATTCGCCTCAATCCGAGCTCCAATTCGTTAAAAATAGAAAATTGGGCGAAGTCCCATTTTCAGAAATTAAACATTCTGCCCAGGCTTTTACTCATCGTGATCGCGAACATCCACACGCGATCGCGAACCAAAAATTGCCACTGCCCAAATTAACTCTACGCGATCGCGTATATCCTCACGCGGTCGCAGAGCACAGAATTCCTAGCTCTACGCGATCGCAGTCCTCTTCACGCGTTCGCGACTCACAAGGTCTCAAAGTTACACGATCGCCTCCCTCTTCACGCGATCGCGAAGTACAAAACTTAGCAGCCCTCAATTAACCTTACGCGATCGCAAACAATGCCACGCGATCGCGATGCACATCTTGCCAAACCTATGCGATCGTGGTTGACCTCACACGATCGCGAAGAACAAAATTAACACTGCCTCAACTAAGCCTACACGATTGCATCCCAATCTTCACGATCGCGAAGAAGGTTTAAAATACCATAAATCAGCAGCTACCAGCAATGCCAAAATGAAGGAAAATACTCTGA